TACCTCAGCGTAGCGGAGGGATAAATGGATGTTTATTGACACTGCCTCAAAGCCATACCGGCCTGACAGGCTGCTCATGGTCATTATGTTCTCAGTCATGTCTGAAAAGATTTGGTGAACAATCCATCTTATTCTTACATTGAAAATATCATCCATCAGCCTCATTCCCAAAATCCAAAGCGATCAGGACTTGAACCATCAAAACCATCAAGATTTACTATATCAGGAGAGACAAATATCTAGATCTTGAACTCTCCAAGAACATCGGAAACAGTTCCCAAATGGATCCATATCGGTACCAACCAATCAATCTTGGTCGACCTTCTATTCGACTTCTCCAACTCCACAAAGGGGATTGGGCCGATGAAATTCAAGGCCATTTCATCAGTGCTTGGTTTGACGATTCCGATAGTATCATCCCATATTTCGCATTGTCTTATACCTGGGGTAACATTGACAAAGTGGAAGAGGTTATAATTGACCGCGCCAGAATCAAAGTGACTATCAACTTACACATGGCACTTCAGCATTTAAGATCTGACGAAGGAGATCAAGTATTTTGGATTGATGCTTTGTGTATCAATCAAGAAAATGTCCACGAGAAAATCCATCAAATCAGACAGATGGGCGATATATACAAGAAGGCTGAAAAGGTCGTGGTTTGGTTAGGTCAAGGGACTGAAGAAACCAACCTGGTGATGGATGCCATGACCAGGCTGCGAAAGGCAAGTTTAAGTTGGCATTCGACAGAGTGGAAATATAAGGCCCATGGCTGGGTCGATGAAAACAATGAGCACTTGACGAATTCGCGCGAGCAAATGAGGTTGATATTGGACCGACCATGGTTTCGAAGAATCTGGATCTTGCAAGAAGTTGCCAATGCTCGGCAATCAACGACAGTACATTGTGGTAACAGATCTATCACCGCTACGATCTTCTCCCAGTTTCCGGCTCTGATTGCTTTAAAACCTGCCGTACATTGTCAATCAGTTCTGGATATAATGTCTGAAATTTCGCGGAAAGAGTCTTGGTGGGCGCAAGGTCAGAAGCTTCACACGTTACTAGTAAAGTTTCGCGAAAGCGAGGCGACTGATGATCGAGATAAGATATATGCATTACTGGGTATGTCTTCAGACGCACATAGGAGTAACATCTTAGACCCAAAGTGCGACAAGTCATCCCAACAGGTCATTCGAGAAGCCGTCTCATTCATGTTATCTGAAAGGTATCCTCAACTGGTAGATGATGCGACACTCTATCAATTTCTCAACTGGAATTTGACGAAATTTTTAGATAATTTGGAAGGTTTAGAAGGTGCTATTTTGATGGATGCGTTTGCGGGAGCAGAAAAAGGATTTCTCAAGCTCTTTATTGAAACAGATGTGTGTCAAATCAGCTCGAGAGGCTTTCATGATCGAATTCCGGTGCATTGGGCCATTCAAAGAGACCGGCTCACCATTTTAAAGATACTACTTGACGCATATCTGTGCAGTTTCGAGAAGAAAGATTCAGATAAGCAAACACCATTGTCGTTAGCTATCCAAACAGGAGACGCTAAGATTGTCGGGTTAGTTCTTAATGCAGGCGCAGACATTGAAGCAACATGCTCGAACGGCTTAACACCATTGTTACTAGCTATTGAAAAGGACAAAATCAATATTGTTGACTTGCTTCTTTCGAGAGGTGCTAAATATAAAGCACAGAACATGAGTAGCTCCGATCTATTATCACAAGAAAGCGATAGATCTGGCCAGTCCATATCCTCACTTTCAATTCAAAAAAGTCAACTTCCATTATCATTTGCAATTGAAATCGGAAATTGCGATATCGCTAAATTATTACTCAACTGTGGTGCAGAGCTCGAGGATAAGGACTTATTGTTAGCTCTCGAATCTGGAAACGATAGTATGGTTGAGTCCTTGGATGATTACAATAGAGCCACACACGCTACGAATCGCAGAACAAGTCTACGGTCGGCGGCTGAGCTCAGGAACGTCCAATTAATCAAATTAATCAAGCCATTTATCAAGAAGAGGTTTGGGCTTGAAAGCAAAGATGAAAAGGGTCAGATACCACATATTGTCCAGCTTTTGCTTGAAACAAAAGATCATACAGGAAGAACACTATGGCAGAAATTTAAGGCTTCGCATCGGGAAAGGTAGCTTCTCGGCGAATGGCCCTTTTGCTTAATTGGGGTGCAATTGATATGGATGGGGAATAGAAAAAGAACATCACTTTTGTTAGCTTTTGTTGGAATGAAACAAATTTGGTTGTTAATTTCGTGGCGATGCTGGATGATCTATTCAGAGTCTCAAGATATGGAGTTCCGATTGATTTGGGGGCGGGGAACCACGAAATGGGCCAAACACTCTTTTTATTGCGCTTGTAACCAAGATTGATGACAGTCCTACGAATTGTGAGACGTGTCGGTTATCAACGTCTCAAAGGGCAAACCGGTATACCCAATTGACTTCATTATCTTACCCACGATCTCTGCATACACATGCCTCCTGCCCTCATGTCCTCGAGCTCTGTCGCTTGTCATTAATACACCGCTTGCGCAACATTACAAACCAGAGCCAGTGTAAACTTCTATTTTCAAGACTTAGGATAGTATTGGGATAAACGAGTGATTGGCTGAGCTGATGTGGAACAACAGAGAAATCTTAATCGATCATATATCCATTGAACAACCCCGCACATAGAACCTGGTTTTCTCTCTCTATGTATACCAAAATAACAATTCAAATATCATGTATATCTTAGGTAGTTCGAGCTGTTGGAAGCACTAGCACGGAAAGAGAGGTACAAATTGAGGAGATGCGGGAGCATGAAATCGAGGTTGCTAGTTTCAGCGGCTTGACACCAATCACCAAAGCACGGCCGGGCCTCTCGACAACATACTTGCAGAGATTGCAGCCCGACACCAGGTTTCTGAGAACGCTGTACTTATTAGCTGGCTAGTAGCTCAGCATGTTGTAGTGACGACAACGATAACGAAGGTTGGTTGACTGGAGGATTACGCTGCAGCTGTGCAGCTGGAATTATCGATGGACGAGCAGGAGAAAATCACACAGGTTGGATTGACGCATCATCTCAGAGATTGGATCCTGACCGTTTCGATCCCAATGATAGATCCTAGCTTTTTAATACATATCTGGTGATGTTTATAAGTTGATCTCAGCTACAGAGGCCGGAAGGAAACATTTTGGTATCTTGAATTTACAATCAAAATTCTCTTTTGCATTTGAATCGAAGACTCTTGTCTTATTGAAATCAATTCAAATGTCTTAGAAGGCCATCAATGCAAAGTTCATCTTGTATCTGGAAAGTTGAGATGATTCTTATCAACAGATATTCATAATTCTTACTACCTGTCGATTGGAGAGATATCCAACAATGCTTGGTAGAGAGTAGATGTGCAGAATAGAAGGAAGTATCACATGGCACCGTACATACATGGACATTCTCCGGTAAAATCGAAATTGAACGAAGTGAAAAAATTTATATCTCCAAAAAGAAGAAATCCATTCATATCTACACTTACAAGTGAATTCACATCTTCCACCGCATCATTATAACCAACACTCACAACTATCCATCCATCACCACCCTCCCTGAAACTGCCCCTCGATCTCAATCCATCTCCGAATTTTTCAATTCTTCGGCCGAAAAACTTCGGCCGCGACTCAGATCAGAATCCCAATACCCACACTCATCCTCATTCCCAACGACTAACCCAGCATCTCCGCAGATATTTCCATGAAAACATAACTACATCTCTATCCCAACCAATCTCTATCTCTCATGCCTTTTCCAAAAATCTTGTGTTGCACATCTACACCGGCTCCGAAGGTTTGGGAGTCTCGGACTTCCGAGTTTTTCCTCTAGCCTTCTTTCACCTATTTGTTTACTTTTTTATATGTAAAGAATTAATGAATGCTGCATGATATCATATCTATGCATATCACAATTTACCGCGGAGAAAAACTCAGGTCCATGTTCTGATCTAGAATCGAGATGGCTGAGAACCCGATAACGTAAGAAATTCCCGAGTAAGCTCATTTCTCCTCGGATGAGTAAGATTCTAGAATTCAAATTTCACGAACAGGATTTCCTATCTAAATGAAGTGGAGAGTTTCTGAAAAAGGCAGGAGATATGTTGGAATGGATAGTTGGTGATGGGAATTGAAGTTTTGTTGCATGTCGTTGTTCGGATCCGGGAGGAATTTTCGGATATAGGGGTCGGAGATCGTGGGGCTCGGTAAACGTGTACAAGTATACTGGTTGCTTGGAATGAATTAGAATAGATTTGGATTGATTGGGAAGGTGAATGTCTGATCGGAAATGAGGGGATGGTATGTAAAAGGGAAGGTAGACCGTTTTTGGTAACGGTGTGTAGCGATGACGTTGGATTATGTATGGAATGTTACTACAGGGGATCATTCAACCAGCCTAATATATAAGTCAGATATAAATACTATCTATTTGAACGTCATTATCTCACGGTTCAATCTGTGGTTTTTCGTTGAGGTTTATTTATTTCATTCTTTATACTTCATTTTGAATAATGACTGTATAATGGAGTGTTGTATTTTTTCAACAGCTACTAACAATACCAATTGATTCTGCCTATCTTTTCTTGAAACTCAGCATCCCGTTCAGACCGACACAGTTCGATATCACAAGACTTGAGAGTCATGATGATAGAGTAACGAACCCCTCAAATCCGTCACTTGAGATTAAAAATTATGTATTCCATACCTCTGTATATCAAGAAACCCCATCGGTTACCCTTCCCCTCGAATCAAAGATCCTCCACTTCCAACCCAAACCTAAATTCAAATCCACATCTATTAAATTTTTCCATTCAAACACTTTGTGTGTTACTCCTTCTATTCCCTTTAGACTTCTAATGATGCCTACAATCATTAATAGTCGCCACGATCATCCATAGCAAAATCATACCACCCAATCCCGCAAGCAAAACAATAACCGGAATGGCAAGACCGTCTAGAGGTCGAGCAAGAAAAGCTCGATCCGATTCCTCGGTTTGGATTGTTGATTCCTGTTTACAAGAGATCGATTCATCGGAACAGGTTTTTTATTATCGTGGTGGTAATGATGGCGGTAATAGTGGGGGTTTAGCAGTAGTAGTAGGAACTACGAGTTTAACAATGGTTCGGGTAATGATGGGGGCTTAGCTAGTAATATTAGAATGAAGCTTTTCAAGAGCTCCAAATTCGTATGTGATATCTGCCATTTTTCTTGCGATTGTTGGAGATGGTGGGTTGTGGATGAGAGAGAAGTGTTTGCATGGGATAGGTAGATATTTGTAGAATTTATTGTTGTGTATGAAATTACGATCGTTGTATGAATGTCCTTGGACTGATACTGGTTGGGAACTAGGAGGTCTAGTAACCTTCAGGAGGAAGAAATAACCGGTGCTGAACTCGCTAAATGGTAAGTTTTTTGAAGCACTTTTATCGAGGAGGTGAACGATAACATCTGTTGTATAAACGGACATCTTATTAAATTAAGATGTAAGACAGGTATGAGAAGAAGGAGCTAGTCTGACCAGGCATATAATGTATGATTAGATCGGTTCTAAAGCCCTTGGGGGTATGGCTGGCATAATGGTAGTCAAATCTATTATAATAAAATCCATTTTTCTAAAGCCCAACGAGGGGGTATCTTCTTCAATTCCATCGTTTGGATTGAGATTAGTCTTTCTTTCTTTTTTTAATTTATTGAAAGCTTTGTTATAAAAAAAAGCTAGAATACAGATCCAAAAGTATTTTAGTTACTGATTCCGAAGGACCTAATTCTTATTATCGAAATCATCACTTCACAACCACAAGCTGGGGAGAATTCCGGACGGAGAGAAACTTGTCTGAAAGCATCTATATAAACCAATCAAACTTCAATTATGTTAGAGGCGCCAATCAACCTCTTAGCCTGCTTATCGTATATAAACAAACCAAGTCTAGGATGGTTGCTCGTGGAAGGGGTTACTGGAAGTTTAAAGCTAGATAACAGAAAGGCAGAATGTGATCAGTCAAAGTATGTGTATAATGCAATGGTTTTAGGCGGTTTATGAATCGAAAACCCTTCGTCATATACGAATTCACACTCAATTCAGCCTTGCAGCCTGTATCGCTATATATAAACAAATCAGGACTAAGATGGTTGTATATGGAAGGGGTAATTGAGAGTTAAAGACTAGGAGCCAGGAGGGCAGATTTGATTGGTTGGATATTCATATGTTAGAATAGTTTAGATTCGCGGGTACTCGTTGATCAATTTGGAGAATAGAAAAAAGAGTTGGCCTGAATAGGCATATAATGTATGGATAGATTGAATAACACGTTAGATCATACATTATACCCTAATTTATTTCATGCTTCTCTATCTCATTTTCGCTTATATAAACTTATATTCAAGTCTCCCTCCTCTTATTTTCCTCTTCGCTTATAATCTATATTAAAAAAATTCCTATCCTACGTATATACTAGCTAGCTTAATTATTAGGATATATACTTATTATATGCGAGCGAGCGCTTATATTGTTTTAGAGGTCTTATTTCTTGAACTAATACTAAGAGCATAGTTATGAAAGCGAGCTCCTTTATAAAAGCCGTCTTTAAAATCTTATGATTATCTCACCTTATATCATTCAATCACCTTTATACTTTTGTATTACTATACAGTTTTATCATATAACTTTATGATTTCATCTAGTACAAAAATATCTCCTTTATATCAATGTATGCGAGAAAATGAGAATGTGATTGTAAAAGTGAAACCCTCTGTAACCCCTCCTCCCCCCTCCTCTACTCCCCTCTCTTAAGGCTTATGATTTTTGCAATTGATATCACACAATCGTTCTCATATACTCAAACATTACCACAAATCTATCATATAACCATAAAATTTATCCCACCAAGTGGAAAAGACTCTATATCATACCCGAACCTTTCCGCAAAGATCTCAGTGCAATGATTTTATTCTAAAGCGTAATAATTTATTCCCCCTTCCATTTCAGTATAAGAAAAGATCCAATATCTCTATCATTCAAAAACCTCTTATCTGTATAATTCGATTACTATGGCGTGTCTTTGCCGCAGCTTCACAGTATTAATTAATTAGTTGGTCGTTGGTTGATCATCATAACCTTTGACGAGTCTTTCTTTCTTCCCTTTGAGTTCGCTTTATTTCTTATCTATCTTACTTTATATAGAGATCGGAGTATAAGAACATTATCAATAATTACATGACCTTTTAAATCTTTGCAAGAAACTGAACATCGATCAACATCCCCAATATCACAAAGATATAAAAGTTCAACAGCAGTAACCCAACCTCATCATGTCAGAAACATAAACAGCGCCAGTAAAAGAGCCATTCATCCCAAGCAAATGATGACCAAGACCGCGGCCCTCTACAAGGAACTCACTGGCGATTCCTCGATCCTTGCTGCTAAGCATGCGATAACTCATCTTTTGTCTCCCTTTACTGCAGATGCCATTAGTAAGAATGTTAGTTCCCGTGATATCATCACGTTTCAATAAAATCCATATTGAAACCTCATTAATCCCCAACCTAGTCCACAACAACGGCTGTGTCACCGGCGAAGTCACAAAAGCGATCATGGAATCCCATCCCCGAGAGTATCCTAATCCAAGCCACCGATCGCAATCAATACATGATATATGGCTGTCGCGAGTTTGCCCCAGCGGGAAACTGGCCCGTGGAAGCAACTGTTTAGCCAGCCCAATCACTCACCTTTCCCGATAACCACTTCACGCATTCATTCAGCAACTTCTTCATTTCCCATCTCGATGACAATCACGATCTAGCAGCGAAGCAAGTCTATCGGACTTAAGCTTTGAAGTCGGGAGGCACAGCAATAGTTTCTACATGGGCTGCAATGGCCCATGGAGAACCGATCAAAAGAGCGCATCTTGAAACACGAGGGTCTGATGTTCCATTCCCTATGGCCATGCCAACACATTGGTATGAAAAAGATGCATTGAAGAATTTTTAAATTGTTGGGGGATTCAGAGAGGAGGATATCGAGATCACGACCTGTGATGTTTATATTGAAGCGAAGGATTTACGCCATCTCATGTCTGCTACTTGGAGCTTTTTGGGTGCGCGAGATGATGGATGGGATCCGGAGGATGAAGAGAATTGGGATAAAGCGGTTGATATTTTGGTGGAGGATATAGAGGCTGGGCCATACTACTTTAAGCTTCCTTTAGGAAATATCGCGTTGAGAATGGTTGCAAATGTGGGCCTGGCTACAAAGTAACGCCAGTTCTTTCATCTACTGGTATACATGTATGATTAGATTTTATATCCTTTTTATTCAAGCATCTTGCTTATCAGTTCTCTATCAATCTCGATCTCTATCTTGAGCATCCATTAAACCCTTACATGATAAAATACAGCACTAATGATATAAAGCCAAAATCAAGAGATTCTTCATTTTACATCTGTCAACAGAGCGACAATCAAAGGAGAAGAATGTTCCAAATAAATGATACAACAATAAATTAATTCCCGACCGAGTGGTCTCCACCATGTAAATAATTAGAACAAATATAAATAAGATGTGCAATCAATGCAACAATTGGTCATCATCCAAATCCAAATCCAATGTCTCAAAGAACACTAGCACGGGTATCGTAATAACTTTGTAAAAGATCGTGATGAAATAAGATGGTGATTCAAGTCGGCCCAGCCCACCCATCACATACCAGCAGCAGTCTTAGCAAAAGCAGCAGCTGTACCGGCATCCATTCCATAAGTTAAATGAGGTGCCAGAATAAGATCTCCGTGGGCGCAAATGTTATCACCGGTATGGCAGATAACTTTTGTATTTGCAGCTGATACGCCTGCGACTGGACTTCCATTGTCTGATATGTATGTTAGTGAGTGTTATAAATGATTTAGTAAGAGCTTTACTTACTTGGGTCTCCGAAAATGATAGCGGAGCTCACTTTCGCCATGGTGGCTGCGGGAACCATTTTTGCAGCGTTGTGTACGAGTTGACCGCCTTGAGAGTAACCTGCCATGACGACTTTGGAATCGGGACAATTTGTAACGGCAGTTGTGATCATTTGAGCCCTGTCATAGGAATTAGTGGCTAGAATTTAATAAACATTGGAGGTACATACATCATCTTGCTTCCAGCTGCATCACCTCCTGCCAAAAATCCAGGGATATCGGCGGGGTATGGAACACCTTGGGTAGCCACATTGCCAGCACCAACGGCTTTACCAAGAGCAGCAACTAATGGAGGTCCTGCCACGGTACCCATAGTCCCAGTTTCCGTAGTTCCACGGGCAAAAATAAGCATCATTGGTGCGCATGCTCCAGCTGCAGCTTTAACATTTCCAGTGCCCTCGAGAATTGGCGCGGCTAGCGCGGTAAGAGGGAGGAGCAAAAGAGATAGAGACTGTGAAACCTTCATTTTGGAGTCTTGTTGTTGTATGAATTGAACTTTCGAAATGATTATTATTTTCTTGAAGTAGTGAAGAAAGCGATTAAAAGTAAGCTGTATTGGATGGATAAATTAAAAAAGAAACGGTCATCCATTGGGGCTTACATGAATTTATATATTCAATCATACCAAGATCCTCAGTTACAATAACACATATCAACATCGCAAATAATCCCGTGACGGCGGAAAGGAATGAAAAGAAAGGTTGCGATTGGTTGAAATTTCTCATGCAAATATGACGGTAGTGACATTCTAGAAAGATGGATGGGATGAATCTGTGTGAGCGGCGGAGGCACAGACAGATACAGGATTTCTCCAACATGAAACTCGTCTCAACCATAACCCCATTATCACTAACACCGAGGTAATAAGGAAATCGTTCCTTCTAGCCTGACATTTAAAATCTTAGATGTTTAGACTCCAACGTTTGAAATCTGGGCGTTAAGGCTGTGTACATCAAAATTCATCAACTTGAGAATAATGAGGTTGTATCGCCGATCGATGAAGATATTTCAATACTTCGGTGTCTAGTACTGATGAAAGAAGGATCAGTTATTGCATATTTTAGATTTCCACTGAACTAAAGATGGAAGTATCTTTTGCAAATCTCCATCAGAATCTTCACACCGACTGACTTTGAATATGTAAACTTTTACAAGATCGTGTGGCTCGACAAGTCTACAGTCTGATACTACAGATCCCAACTGAATGGAAGAAATCAAAACCACGTTTTCATTGGCATTTGTCTGTGCGACGAGCCTCATCAATTGAGAAAGCGGAATGAAGTTTATGCCTCGGTAGTCATTCTGCTTATACGACGTGTTTGCGACGAGTTTGTGGGTATAAAGTAAAGACACAAATGCTCGTATTATCAGAATCCAAACTGCAAACCGGACGATATACTCTTTAGAGTTGGGATGGTTAGACAGTTTGATTTCTCGATATGCGATTCGTAGAGAGAAGCGTTCCTCCAGGTTCAGAATCCACTTTGATTTAACCTTTAAGCTACTTCAGATGTGTTTTGATTTTTGCTCGGCAGTTTTTGCCAAATCTTCAAGATTCGCTCGCATCGATTTCTTGGTGATGTTTGTTATATCGTCATGCCATTTTGATACGACAAGTAGGTTCGGCATTTGAGCTCGATGGGGCATTTGGACACGAGGGCAATGAAAGATGACACTGACACCCTGCAAGTGCTTGATAAATTGAAGTATGAATATCTTTTCCGCTTTCTTGGTAAATCGCACAGAATTCCACTCCTCTAACAAACAACAACATTCAACCACATACCTTTGCATCAATAAGGCATTCCGACGAGGTTTTATGGCACACCGAAGTCCGAAAAGTCGAAGTCTTATTATTCATTATGGATATTGGCCTATTGATGAATATGATCAAGACATTTATTTTTGATGGATTGTATGAGAAGGCTGTTAGACACCATGAGAAAGATGCGAGTCAGATTCATTCTAGCAATCCTTGGGGTGCGAATTTATCGACACGCAACAGCTGTCACATGACCCAGCCAGCCATCTTAGGTATAATTCTATAAATTCACACCAAGCTGAAGTGATACTACACCTAGGATCAATCGAGAAAGATATTCTATAAGAACAAGTCATCACAATGACAGGAAGACTCACGGCGCTATATCATCTTCTATGTTTGAACTATCTACCTCATCGATCTTCCATTTTCTGGTGTTCGAATTGAGTCAGTCTATTCCGACACTGAACATCCGCTGTCAATCACGACTTCCCGCTTGTCAAAAGAGCTAAATTGCTCCACCCCTGTTTCGACCAACTGATCACCATTGATCTCCCGAGATCTCCATCACTTGCATGGCCAGCAGAAGATGTTCTATTTTGACCGCATGCTTTTTCTCATAAAGCACATTATTGGTATGAAAAAGGAAGTGCGACGGTGGCAGAGATTACCACTGGGAAAATTAATGCTGAACTTGTCCGAGGGGTACATAAATGCACGTCAACCTCGACGAGATTCTACGATATGAGTTGGAATCTCAAGGGTAACAATCGCGATAGACAAGGGAAGTATGACGATGCTGGAGATCAAAATGTCTGGTCGATCAACGTCAAGGGTCTTAGTTGCCGCTTTTTTGCTGTGTTTTTATGTCTATTTCTCAACCCTGGTTGCATTGCCACGTCTCGTTGAGATCTTTTTGGCAGTACATCCACTACTTATTAAGCTTTGGGCAGGTATGACGAAGGGAAGTAAGGTACATTACTCGTCGTTTTCGTGTCACTAAGTGGTGACTGAATACTAAGGATATCTCCACGTGGACGAGACAGCGGTTCACCAAGTCTGGCTGAATCATATATCGGAAAGACTTACATTTCGATTGAAAGTGATGATGGTTTGGTTTGATGTCGAAGATTGAGAAGAGTGTATACTTTATTGTCCTGTTACTGTAGTCTGGAAGGTTCATTAGACGCTGTATTTGAGATAATCTTCCGTAAACTGCAGTGGCTATGAAAAATCATAGGTTAATCGTCGATGGGTAAACTGAGATGTGAGATACGCAGAAGTGAATATCCTGGGTTTCTCGAGTCTTCACGAGTTTGATCATTTCAATGACCATTTCAAATTCAATCTTGAATTGTGTGCGAAAGATTCACCCCCGAGCCTACCTAGGCATTCACAAATTTCGTGGTGTGTATTATGGCTACCTTCAATAGGGAGGAGTATAGAAATTCAATACACCCCAACATCCTTCAATCAGTTTTCATCTGCGAAGAACCAAATTACAATGCTGAGTTGATCTAAATTATTTATATAATTTGCTACATAGAGAACAACCTAAATGTAAGCAGGTAAGGACAACAAAATTATAATGACCACGATTGATACATCTTTTCCTTCCCATATACACCCCAAAATCTATATTAAAGAAATCTCCCTCTTCTCATACCCCACCGCCCTCCCATTAAGAACTCCATCCTCTCCACTAACCATCTCTATATCCGCTCTTTCCCTCAACAAAGCAGATCTATCCACTCCGCCCTTGCGCTCCACCAAATCAAAAGGAAACCACTCCGGCCTGACAATCACATACGCGGTGTAATCATACCAAGGCACTTCGATATCCTCACCCTTCTCATTCTTCTGCTTCCTAATACTCACACTCCACAAGATCGTCGCGATAACAGTAAGCAACACCATCTCGACATGATCCTGTCCAATACAAGCGCGTCTTCCCCAACCAAATCCGTGGTTGGCTTTGATGGATGGGAAATGGGTAAGCGGTTCTCTGTATGTGGGAAATTCGGGGGATAGCCAGCGCTCCGGACGGAAGTTTTCGGGATCGGGGTAGAGGACTGGATCACGGCAGAGACCCCATTCGAGTGCGAAACAGGTGGTGCCTTTGGCGAGGAAATAGCCATCGTATACATCGTCTTGGGACAGTACGTGAGGAACGCCTGATAAATTTTGTCAGTTTATCAAGTCATTTTGGGGATAGTTTCGAAACAGGGAAATATAAATTGCTAGAAAAAAAGAAGGGGAGGAAAATAAGAATCACACATACCAGCAGGAGCAGGACTTCTCCACCTGAAAATTTCTCTAATGATCGCTCTCACTACAGGCAATTGCTGGATATCATCAACAGAAGGTGGTCGATCCCCACACACCCTATCGACCTCTTCTTGTCCCTTGGCCTGCCACTCTGGACTAACAATCATAGCGTGGAAGAAACTTTGAATAGGTGACGACGTAAGAATACTTCCGATCAACGCCAACATGCCGATCGAATAGGTATTATCTTCTTCAAATTTAGGAGTAGTAGGCATGCTGAGATGTCGCGCCATCCAGGATGGATCCGGCTTCTCATTTAAAAGTGACTTTCTGACTTCCTCTTTCTCTCCAAACCAAAAGTTTCTCTCCCGTTGATAACGTACTCGTTCTGCTACTTTCCATGGTTGGAGGAAATCGGGAACCCAGTCTGGAATATTGCGGAGGAATGGAAGCTTGTTTTGGATATCACCATCGGCTGAGATACGGCGGAGGAGTTGGTTAGCACGCATGATGGTTTCTTTGGCGGTGGAGAGACGGCGATCATTCCAGGCCATTTGCGATGAGATTTGAGCGGTGCATTCTTCGCAGAATTGTTTGAAGAGGTGTGGTTGGGCGATGAGACGAGTGACGAATGTTGCGGCGCCTTTTTGAGAAAGGCCCTTGAGACGATCGGGGGGCATGCTGGACATGGTGGCCTTCATCCAAGTTTTGATGCGCCTCATGTCATCTGGATGGATATTAGTATTGTGGGAGGAAATTTCAGATACTGGGAGACATACCGCCATTGGTAACGAGGGGAATGTATCGATTTGTGTATCTGCAATCATCTCCGATAGCTGCAAGGAATGGTCTATCCGAATAGATGGCTCCTCTCTTGACAAACAGGTCTTCGCAAATTTTATGAGAGGTAATCCAGACGGTAGTATCGCCGTTCAGATTCACTTGGTACATGGTTCCATACTCCTTACTCCAATCCACCATTTTCATCCATGGATTCTTCGGGTCGAGATCAGGAACTGACCCAATGATTGGGTATCCTGTAACAAAACATCAGTAAAGATTCATCATTGAGGTATCATACATATTCTCTTACCTTTTGGACCCGGCAATGTTTTGGCGCCATCAGGTATCTTGACTTTCTTGAACAGACGCTCATAAGATACATAACATATAAAAATCGCAGCAGAAAACCCAAGCAGCAACAATGAGTATGCCATGCTTGCCTATGACGAAACGATCGACTATAGAATTCTGGAATGTAGAAAAAAGAGAGATGGGAGACTTGATATTAAAACAAAAATTGCAGCCTGTCCATCCAGCTCCTGGGAAACGAGAAAAAGGAAAAAAAGAAATACGAATCCAGTAGTACTACACTAGTTTCTCCAACACCAACAGATCCATCCACACTAAGACAAACTAGTCATTTTCCTCCCATATACCTACATTTCATCTGACGAGAACGACCAAGCCTCTCTCGAGCCTTGCACAACAACACCCAAAACATGCTTTCCAGCTCCATGTCGATCACGTAACAAGGGACGATTGTTTCCGTTGCTGAAACATCCTCGACGCGCTATGTTCCGAAGCACGGATACTAGAGATGATCCGCTAAACCCCTAGTGCCCCTTTTGCGTGCCGACCTTCGTATAGCTTGGCCCAATGCTGCATACATAAATACATTGCTTGTTTGAAGTTTGTCCTGTCTCGTCCTTTCAGCTTATGTAGAACGAGGATAATTGTGATGCATCATTGTAGATGTTGGCTGTACCCCCCACATTCGTGTCAGACTTTTGGGGGCTGGCAGATTTCTTCACGACGTCGCGTGCAGGGCTGAATTTAGTCGATTAGTAGTATGCTTACTTGTCATTCTTATCCATCGATGCTTTCAGAATTTGCGTGCGTTTGTGATTATCTACAGATTGACAACAAACAGATGCCGAGCTATCACAAAGTCAATATGTACGGAGTACAAGCGCAATCAAAATTTTACCCCGCGGACCGTCAAAAAGCTTAATGATGCAAAGCGTGTCGCACGGGGCTCTGCGCTCTTGAACATTTTCGAAATTGCATACTTGAATCTCTGATCTCATGTCTGTATATTTAGGTACGAGAGTAACTTTACCAATTGTTGGATAGGCATCGTGAGACAACCAATAATTCCAACTTTAGCTCGAGTGTGATAGAGAACATGTATGGACTGGATAACGACGGCATATCTAGATACGAGACGTAGGTATGTGTTTTTTTCTATTAGACTTTCTCTAACCAATTTCCTGTCAAAAAGCAAAGTATATGCCAGTGGATGAAATGGTTGACTCAGAATCTCTTACCCAAAACGAGATGGGGATATCTTTCATGAGTCTGCTTGGTTCGTTGTCTGGTATTTTGGTATGTTGTTTCGTAACTTTAAAGCTCATATCACCGAGTGTCTACGTGGTCCTAACTAGTCGCACCTAATGTATGTTTAGTAAGAAATGGAAAGAAAAAAAAAGCTATCAAAAGTTAGCTTGGATGTCTCGAGGATGTGAGGATGTGTAACGATAGTCGAGCGTCGATAAACGAACGCCTTATCGATCGCTACAGGGAACATATTAAGATTTCGTATTGTCGTGTACTTCGTAGAAAATTCAATTACAGCCTCTTGTTTTCCGAAAGACCGAAGAGCGAAGATCATGTATTTCACACATCTCGGAATCCAGTTTGGTTCTGAAGAGTCTTTGTTAGTGCTGTGAGGTTACATCTCAACAAGACTAATGCTTGTACTTAGTAATTCGATACAACCTCAACCTTACAAAGTACTCGTAGACGATGATGTTATAGATCAGGTTGAAGATTATCTATCGGTTCCATGGTAATGGCATGGCTTCAAGCATATTGGTATAGATAAGCAGATAACACAACGCTTCTTGATTATCCAAGGACGTGGATGTGTGTTCCGACCACCATGTTGAAGAAACATGAAACAAGACCATTTGTCCAAATATATTGATCATCGTGAGCCAAATACTGGAATAGCTATGGAAAAGTGACATGGATCTTACCCAAGCCTCTGTTGTAGCAAACATTGATACATAACTGCCAATACCTACGAGTAGGTAGTTACCAATCGAAGAAATCGCTTAACAATTTTTGATCTTCTTCAACATCGAAGTAAATTCTGATGGCTTTGATATTTCTATAATTAGCTCATCCAACCTCAAACTTTGAAAGACTGATGATTGAGCCCCATATCAACTTTTCTCCACAATACATTCACGGATAACCAATCAGAAATTTATGTCGATTCGTAACCATTTCTCCATTTGCGTTCGTTTGTAAGATCTTGAAACAACATACATACACACCAGATATCTGATCATAGATCTGGTGTGAAAAAGTGGGTAGATAGGTTATTAAAAGTTCTGGAAACAAATGTTTGTGAATTCGACGAGTATGAAGTTGTGTAAGGGAACGGCATAGAGGAAGTCATGATGAAGAGCGTCTTACTAACTCTCGCATTTATATCAAAGCCACATTGAGAAACATTCTGAAAGTTTTCTGTTGAATAATAGGAGAGGAATTTGAGAAAAAGAGTCGATCCATTTGCTGGCCAACTGTTGCGCAATAACCTCTTGGGATATGCCCCTCAATTCTTACGCAATGGGGTCAGTGGGAGGTCCATGTCGTATGCTATGAGACGGCTCTTTTATTTGTGAAAGTTTGACCTTGAATCTTCTTTATTGATTTTTGAATAGTATCGACTCGAAGGTAAAATTTATGTCCAAGGGAGATTGAGGGTCGTATATTCTTTGGAGAATCACAGTATTCCGATTCGAAACTCACAACATGAAGCCAACCGCAAAAGGCAGCAGAGAAAAACAGTTCCATGAACGGGGAAGATGATCTTCGCCGCACACAGGATTGGAAGTTTACATCGTTGCATTCCATAGAAACCGTTTTGTTCCTAAGGACATCTATTCCTTCTCCTGTGAGTAATGTCGGATTAAATGATTCCGGATGTGACCGTATCCTTACGTTTTCTCGATCTAATATTAATAGTAGGAGACTTTGTCGCTGCACTCTGGAGGCAAATTAAGTCCTTGAAAATGATTCCATCTCATGAGGGGGGGCGGGTGTAGGAGCACCCATCACTCATTTTTGCAATAATTCGGAATCGGCAATAGATACCAAGTGGTACTGAATCAAAAGGATCAATTGAACCGGCCTTACTTTGCCAAACTTCCCTCTCAAGGAAATCTAGTATTCTGCAGACAATTTCTTCATCTCACCAACACGAAGAAAACGATCAAGAAGAACCGCAAATCAGAACCAGCCAGACCACACCACACCACAGACGGAAAAGCACATCTAAAATCGCCCCCAGAAAACAACCCAAAAATCTCAATTCTGTTTATAGTCACCAACAGTTGGTCGTTGTCGTGATCAAACGTTTAATTTCGCAAACTTGGAAGTCGTCATCCAAACATCTCTGATTGGTGCTTCATATACGGGGTACACAACCTATCTCAAGCGAGCTTACATTATTCATCTAAAGAACCCCTCTTGATCTATTTTCATCATGATGTATTATTATACGGGTATGTACAGCCATGTGAACCAACATCCTGAAACTGCATGTGGGATACCGCGAAGAAAAAAGAATGCTGAGGGGTGGGTTAGTGAGTAATTATGTACATTCGTTGTTTGGATGGAATTAGGTAAACTGAAGCTTTTGATTTACGAGAGATGATTTATGGTTTTGGATGTTTGCAATAATTCAAACATTTGAATTCTCTATACACTCAACCTTTTGAACAGTATCAAAGTTCCAACTGGGTCCACGAATCAAAAGCTATTGACTGGCAGCCTACCCACCAGATCATCAAATGAAAACTCGGAGCAAATTTACAATATAATCAACATTAAGTTCCGAAAAGTTCTCTATATAGAAAACGGGTCCGTACATTCGGTAAGAGGATTGCATCGTACATTCCTTCGAGTCATGTAACATTGGTGAAGGGAAATTTCCGTATCGTGGCCAGGTTCAGCCTTACTGGTACAGGAAAGACGTTCCAGCATGGATAGAACGATCATACATACTATGGTTTCTGAATATCTTCAGTTCCCAAAACTGAGAATCCGTTGGCACTTTGATACAGTAAGTATATCCAAATGACCAACAACAATCTTTGGGAGATTCCTCCTTCAATTTCTCCTCTAGTTAGCGATTGCCTGGATCTCATTACACTATGATAGAAAGCTGTATAACTTTCTGTCAGTGACATTCACAAGCTGTGCCTCAAAAGTGTAATACTCACGTCGTGTCGTAGGATTCTCAATGATTCCTCTTCTCATCCATCCCGTTAGATTCTGGAGCATCATTTCGGCAATGGAAAATTATATCGTCTATCTAAGGGGTATCCAAAAACTCACACTCCCAGGTATCGCATATATAGATATTTGATAATACCTGTCATTCCATTTCGTAAATCATTCTCATTCTTTCCTTAGATTTCTCTCCTTGAAATTTCTTTCATTGGTATTCCCAGTCATTCCTTTCTGGTGTCAATATTACATTCAGTCTTTACCATGTCTCCTCTCAATTTGGTTCTCAGAACCGCTTTCATTCTTTCTTGTATATCGACTTCTTTTGCTGCAGTCTGCAATGACCAAACTCGAGCTTCTGGGGATCCCTCTGGAGAGGAATTAGCTGCATTCCTCAATTCTGAAGATCAGATCTCCCAGTTTTGTTCGGTGAATGTATCAGGGAAGACTTCAGGGAGTGTTAACTTCTCAGACTTCCAGGTAAGACACCTAAGAAAGATTTAATTCGACATACTAATTGAGGTAGATCTCTTTTGAGCGCAGTGATACCTCCAGTTCAACCTTGGAGCATTGCACGGAAGCACTCCAGGATATCGTATCCCAGTGCATTGAACCTTCCGATCCAGGAACTTATGGAGGAAGCTCAACATTTGAAAATGGAGAAACATACACCATCAGCAACGACTTGTATCCTCAAGCACCCATTGTCTCTGTGAGTCTAGAGAACCGAGCAGTGGAGGATGCGGCCAAACCGAAGCCTCCTAAAGTTACAACGAAAACAACTCCCAAAACAACTCGAACCAAAACATCTGTAGCAAAAGCAACCACTAGTCCAAAAACCACAGCAACTACTCCAAAGCCAACTCCGACTTCTGTGACTACGAGTCCGAAGACCACACAAACTACCCCTACTACATCTAAATCATCGACTACCAAGACAAGTTTATCTTTAGAAACTCCGAAAACGACAGCAACTTCCACTAGTTCCAAAACTACACAGACAATTCCCACTTCTTCAAAATCCTCCACATCCACATCTACCATCAAGACAAGTGTAGCTTCTGAGACTCCCAAAGCAACACCTTCAGCCACTACTTCAAAATCTGCCACTTCCAGCAGCCTTTCAACAAAAAGCTCTTCCATGACCAGCCTAACCAGTCTATCTTCCCAAACCCCCAAGACAACTTCCATAACCACGACTTCAAAATCTCAAGTAACCACCTCAATAACATCCCAATCATCGACTTTGAACACGAGTCCATCCTCCGCAACTCCCAAAACAACTTCGGTAGCCACCATTTCGCAATCCACAGAACTCCTACCTCCAACTTCAAAGTCCACAACTTCTAGTATCATCTCGAAGATTTCTTCCCCCAGCAGTCTCTCCTCAAGTCAAACTTCAACAAAGAAAAGTGGTACTAGCACTAGCACTACTTCCATCCCCTCCATTTCCTCCATTTCCTCAACCAAAAGCTCTTCCACCCACACTCCCACCATCACACCCGACGCTTCCACCTCAACCAAACCATCTTCAAGTACCATCCCATCTTCCCTCTCAACCACTCAACTCTCCACTTCAAGCCTGGAGGTATCTTCCCACACCCCCGAGCTAACTAGCACGCCTTCACAATCCACCCCCACAAAATCCGTTTCACTGGAACCTTCCTCGCAGAAAAGTACATCACAAACCGATCATTCATCTAGCAGCAGTATCCATACTTCTAGTCTCTCATCCACCAGTTCCCCCTCAAGCAGAACAAAAATCCTCACTTCCACATCCCTTCCTTCAACATCCCATACCCTCCAACCGACTCCCTCCTCACCTCCAGAATCCCTCCCCGCAACCAAATCAAGCATATCCCCCGAGTCCAGCGAAACAACTCCCGCAACGATCTCAGAACTCCCAAGCAGTGCAGATATCCATTCCTCCTCCTCCTCCTCCTCCTCAACAAAAACATCTTCCATTTCTTCCCTCTCTTCCAATTCAATCCCCGAAATCACACCCGGAACCACAATTTCCAGTTCTTCAGTGATTACCTCTTCAGTTTTTGGCGAATCAACTAATTCCGCTGGACATTCTAGTAGTACTATCGAGAGTAATACAATTCCCTCACCAATAACCACCTCCAGGATTTCAATTCAATCGTTAGCGTCTTCTTCAATCCCCGAAATCACACATTCTTCATCTACTTCATCGAGTGTTGCTTCTGGATTCGTCCCATCTACCTCGGTCCCCGAATCAACTTCGCAAGCAACCTCTCCCAAAACTCATATATCTTCCGGACAATCAGAAATTGTTCCTTCGCCTTCTCCCTCCACCCCCACATCCCAAGTAATCTCTACCGGATCCCTCACATCTTCCATCCAGCCCGAAATCACACCGCCTTCCTCGGAATCTTCGGTTTCCAGATCCATCTCTTCAAGTATTATCTCCGAGGCCATCCCTAAAAGTACTTCCACCGGATCCCTCACATCTTCCACCAAACCTGAAATCACACCTTCCCCCTCCAACCCATCATCTTCCGAAGCTACTCCTTCATCTCCCATCTCCGAAGCAATCCCTCAAACCCTTTCAACCAGCTCCCTTATATCTTCCACCCAACCCGAAATTACACCTGCTCCTTCCAGCCTCTCCACCCCCGAACTTAATCCATCAACTCCAGAAACCGAATTCACTTCGCAGGCCATTTCCACAGGATCTCTTCCCTCTTCCGTAGAGCCTGAAATTACTCCATCCCCATCTCCATCTCCATCTCCATCTGAGCCATCCGAACCAGTGGAAACCTCCGAACCAACCGAATCACCCAATCCCATCGAAACATCCCAGCCAGAAACTCCAGAAAGTAATCCAACCGAAACTGCCATTCCCTCCTCAACCTCATCTCCCTCATCCACATCAATCATTTCATCTGCCGCTTGTACAGCCACCACAGGAGGGAATTGCTCTACATGTTATCAATACTCTGGTTCTGGCGATATCTCGCCTTCTCTCTCCAACGAAACTACTTTGCAAACTCGCAAACTGCCACCATCGATTGCTGGTCGCATATCTACTACCAATCTACACTCAAAGATATCCAAACGAGTCACCGGATCATTTACTTCGTTTGACGCTGCCACTTCGTGTGTTTTTGGCTCGGTGGATGTTCCTTCTATTCCTGGTTTGTACACAACTCGTGAAAACCACGAATAATCCAAAAATTGTAATTTAGCTAACCTAATATATGAAGATGCATCTACTCTAGTCAGCAAAGCAGGTACTCAAACAGAATACTGGTATATTTTGCAAGATACTCCCGTGAACGCAACGACCTGTCCCGCACTTGGCTTTAAAAAAGTTACCGATGAAGCGCTTGTTTCTCAATTGATAAATTCAAATGCGGTTGGGTATACAAAGGCTGGATCAGGAATTGATTGGAAAGCGAATGCTCCTAGTAAGTGTCTGTCTCGAACGGATAGTCAGCTCTTACAAATATTGGACTGGCATACTGTAACTTTTGACTAACAAATCTTTAGCCGTTGGCGTAGATAGTGTTTGTAAGTATCGAGTCTCTATTTTAAAAGTAGTATGAGAGCACCAGACTAATGTCATTATTTATAGATGAATCAACAATTCTACAAGGCTTCTTCGCAAGTAGAGTTAACAACAGCAACTGTGCAGCTTTCAAGACTATTTTTGATCAGCCAGATACTGTCAATGCAGGAAAATCTAGGCTACAGACGATTTGGAAGTAAGTCTACAGATTACCTCCTCAAATGTCCACGGATTTTCTAATATAAATATAGTGCACTTCCTAGTGATATCAATCCCGACTATGCTGGAATAGATCAAAAGGTAATTTCTGCTCCAAAGATCATAAGATACATCACTAACAAACGAAAAGATAAGCACCGTCAAAGCACAAGCCCTCACCGGTGAATTGCAACAAAGTTATACCAGCAACGATGAGAAGTTAGCGTATATTTCCGAATTAGCCGTGGCAATGGCCATAACCAACGATGATGCCATTGCGAATCTTTTTCAAAGCACCAATCTCCGTATTTACAAGGCACTACTTGCTATCGATGCGGTTATTGGTGCTGATGCGGGTATTGGAGCTACCAATGGTACCACCACGACTGGTATTAAAGCAGACGTAAGTACTACCTACTACCCCTTTGCGCACCATTATATCATATTTCTTGTCCTTGATTGATACGAGGACAATAAGAAAGTCCACAATCGATTGCTCCACCAATAGGATCTCATGAGTTCTCCTTTCAACTTCAAGAGAAAAGCTAACACTCCTCTTTCTCAGTGGGCATCAACCTACCGCGTCTACCTTACTACCCTCCTAACCACCCGCTCCTCGACCATCCTCTCCCAAGTCTCTAGCTACCTTGATAATGATCTTGGACCTGCCGCCAGAAATGATAACGTTACACTTTCAGATGGAACGGTATCGGCAACTGAAAATTCCATTGGAAAGCGTGTTGACGCTTTACTAAATGCGTATCCTCTGGCTAATGCTTTTACATTTAACCAGGCCAAATTATTAGGATTTCCTAGTGTGTAGGTAAAGTTTGCAGGATGAATTTGCAAGGAAAGACTGAAAGAGGATAGAGGAGGTTTGTTAAGAATGGTAGCTTGATGATGGTGTATGTTTGATTTTGAATTTGGAGGATCGTTATTTTGAGTAATTGAGTTAGTTGTTTTCTTCGCCATTTGTAAAATATTATTATTTTCTTTTTTTCATGTTTTGTATTCGATTCTTCAATCTAAACACGAAATACCAATCATGACTTCAGCACGGAACTAAGGCTACCTGACTAGCCTTGATACGCATGGACCACACAAGGCTGACCAAGCTCCCCTCCACCAAAGCTCCCACTCTGACTCTCCATCGCAACTGCGATCACATCACATCACAACTCAATCCGCAACTCAACATGAGTACTCTTCAAAATCAAAGTTCTGCCACATCTGCCAAAACCTTTAAATTTCCCCGCGAACATTCTTTTCCTCCTTTCTTCACCCTCCAACCTACCTCTTCGACTCTCCATGCGCAACTTCGCAAATGGAGCGATTTAATCCTTTCCTATTTTGCGTTTCATCGATTGTTTCGTCTTACGGTTTCTACGTTGTTATCTTCCGAGTTGTTTAGAAATGAGAGGATTAATAGGAGATTGGATGAAGAGGGGTTGAGAGAGGTATTGGAGTTTATGAGAAAGGAGGGGAGAGTGGAGTGGATTGGCGGAGGGGGGAATGGGAAAGTAGGTGGAGATATATGTTGGGTATGGTGGAGGAAGGTAGATGAATGGGCGAGGGTTATTGAGGAATGGGTTGATGAGACGGGGCAGAGAGGGAGTGTGTTGACACTTTATGAGTTGGTTGAGGGAGAGGGAGGCAGGGGTGCTGGTATGTTATTTATTTTTGTCTTCTGGCTATCTGGGTTGGAAGAAGAGTATGCTAACAGATGGATTGGCAATAGAATTCCACGGTCTAGATACGGAAATATTACAAAAAGCATTGGCGATACTGGTGAAGAAGGGAAAAGCTCAAGTTTTCGGACAGGAAGATCAACAGGGTGTAAAATTCTTTTGAGCCATGGGAACATTCCAGAATACATACAAGGTTAAGATCCAAAGTCTTATACCATCCATGCGTTGCGGGACGATTGAAATAAGTGTCGAGGATTGATAAATCTTTTGGATGGGAGCATTCCGCATTTGAATTCGCATAAGGAGGGAGGAACTCTTTCACTGAAGCTTCGTTCCCCTTTTGAATCTTCAATAGGCCTCCACCGAACTTTGCCCGCACCAGTATTATTAGTCAATACTTGAGCACACCCAGCCCAAGATCCTTTCCATGCCTGTCTTCCAGAAAACCCTTTAATCGAGAAACATACAGGAGGTCACAACTTTAATCATGGTACACACACTTAACAGTGCGTACCTAGGTAGTCTCACAAGAAAGTAACCAGAGTCAAAACGACTCTTTCGGGAGCAAGGTCGACGCAAAGATCACAAAGCGAACCAAGCTACATGTAGCCAGAAACTCGAAAGGAAATTTGGACGCCATAGCTAATTCGTAGCTGTTGGGCCTAGACCTAACGAATGAAAAAAAAAATCCTGTCCCGCGTTACCGTGTATCGTCTTTTCCCGCTGTCTCCGGGGGACGTACCGAAATTAGATGGAGAATAATATTTGTCCTTCAGCTGGCCTGGGTAGATTGCTAGCACGCATGGAGACTAGCACCATCGAGTCTCATCGACCATCCCTTTTTCTTAGCAATAGATTTATGTTTGATCTGCGAGATTTTCTGATGGTACTTGGAAGTACTGGAGCCTTTGTGTGTGTTTTTTTTTCAAGATGGAAATTGGAGGGATGATTAGTGGGTGGAATGAAGGGGTGGGTGGGTTATTGGGGGGAAATATTGGGGGGTTTGTTCGTTTTTGGTATATAATTTTATAAGAGAGATATATATATACATATACCTAGGTAACTTACATACAGAAGTCGAAAGTAGATAGGGAGGTACTGGTCTAGTGGCATGGATGAGATTACAATCCCCAGCCAGGAAAGCTCCACCATAGCATGGAATGAAAAAATATAAAGTTGCTCACGTTAAGTTGATTCCATATCGTACATGTCATACCGATCATATCGTACATACCTAGCAGATGGTATACTCCGCACGATATATATATGGAGTACATATTTCACTCTCTGATAGCCTACGATATAGGAATACTACTCCGTAGGAAGTATTCCATGGATGGTCGAATTGTCGAATTGTGGAATCATAGAATCATGGAATCATGGAAGAGGGTCATTGAGTGTAGTGTGTGACTGTGATGGTTGATTGGCTGGCAAGCTTCTTCCTTGTTGGAAGGAGGAAGGGATGGGGAATGCATGGTTTTTATGTATTATAATTTGTATTGTATTGTATTGTACGAGTAGGTAGTGTAATATAGTATATTATAGTATAATTTGAGGTGAGGTGATGGGATGGGATGGGATGGGATGGGATGGGATGTGATGGATGATTGGTGAGTAAGTGGCTTATGAGGATTACGTAGGTGGTTGATAGATGGTGTGAATGGGTAGATGGGATGGATAGCTAGTAGGTGGATAGGTAGAGAGGTAGAGAGGTAGAGAGGATCAAGGTCTTTTGGCTTGTGGCTTTTGGATTGAATGGAGGGCTTGGAGATAGGAGATAGATAGGAGATAGATGAGAAATAAATAGAAAATAAATGGAAGATAAATGGAAGATGAATGGAAGATAAATGGAAGATAAATGGAAAATAGATGGGAAATAGATGGGAGATAGATATAGCAAAACCTCTCTATAAGGATACCGGTTTTTGTAGTCTTTTTTAAGGATATATAGAGGTATCCTTATATAGAGGTATCCGATTAATATCAACCTGATAATAATTAGTTTCCGATTAGCCCCGATTAATTCCAATCGGGTTATATTCTATAACAATTTCGGAAAATTTTCTATTTTCACAAAATATAACTAGATTCTTTATATAATAGCTCAGATCCTAATGATTTTATTGATCTAATAAGGATATATGTGATTCTAGAACCGGAAAATATAAGGATATCCTAATAAAGGGGTTTTAAGGATATAGATTTTTTTTAACCTTGAAAATTCTTAGAACCGAAAAATATGTCCTTATAGAGAGGTTATCCTTATAGGGGGGATCCTTATAGAGAGGTTTTGCTGTAGGAAATAGATAGGAGAATATAATTAATTGTATTTGGGTATTCGGGTATTTGAGTATTCGGATAGGTAGGGAGGCTCGGAGGTATTGAGAGTGAAAATTCAGGGAAAGAGATGGATTGATAGATACTAGGTAGATAGATAATAAATAGACTCCAAGTAGTATGTATGTATATATGTAGGTAGGTATATGTTACCAAGTACCAAGTACCAACAGCCAACACGGTGGATTTGAATCTAAAATTTGAATTTGATCTTGAATTTGATTTTGAATTTGATTTGATTTGAAAGCCATCATCCCATCCCATCCCATCCATGGATTTACTTGATTCGACTGACGAATGAGAAGTGTACGGTCCCTGAATTTATCTCCGAGGTGTACCTTTTTTAATATATTTATATTGCGATTATGATTACCTAGGTACGTATGATTACTCGGTAAAGGGTGGTTTGGGTGTTGACGGTTTTTGTACTGTATCCGTACTGTCCGGTCTTCGTTTTCCCCTTTCTCTTGCTCTTGCTCTTCTGTCTATGGAGTTGGTAGGTAGGTAGGTATCGGATGGATTGGTTATTGGGAATGCTGAGGTGGAAAGTTGAGGTTGGGGAATGAATGGATGGATGGATGGATGGTGTTGGTGGATGGTGGATAGATATTAGATACTAGATACAAAAACTAGATGTTAGATGTTAGATATTAGATACAGAAACTAGATATTTTCTTAATAAATAAGTAGTAAATACTTTCCCTGATAAATTCATCAGCATTAGTTAACTCCTATGTAGTTAATTAGTTCCCCAATAGTTGATTAGTTGTACGATATGAAAATACTCGCTGCCTTGGAAAGTTGCATCTCATTGCTCATTGCATGCAAAACAAGTTGAGCCGTCCGTCATCATTAATTAAAGATCCGAGTTGTCATAATGCATACATCCATACCCTTCGATGGGCCTATGTCTATTCTCGATTGCTCCCTCATCCAATGTTGCATTCACCGCTATTAGATGTGTTTGATCTCTTATCTCTCCATGAACTACTAGCGACGAACTACCGACTAGTTGCTCCTTCATTGATAGAACGGGTTCCAAACTTCTATACTTCTAAACTTAATTCTTGAGAGATCGGTAGCAACGGGAACGAGAGACTGGTTTACTTGCGGTGGAATCTCTGGCTTTTGGGTTGGGATAGTACACTTCACTGGTGAGATGATGATGATCGTCAACTAAGAGGGTGTATGTGTAGATGCAATGGATGGAGATGGAGATAAGAAATGTTTCAAGAGGAGAAGAGAGATCGATTCGATTGAAATATAAACTTTTATATTTGACTTCCTTCACTTCCTTGACTTCCTTGATTGACTGACTACCTTGACTACTTTGACTACTTAACCCTATCTATCTGTCTTTGTTTATATTATTGAATATCTTTTTATATTCAGATTGCAGATACTACCTAGTACTCATATACTCCTAATTCATATACTCCTTCCTATACAACATACTCATCATTCATATATATATATATATATATATATATGTATGTATATATGAATCCATAAACGTATTCTCATCTTATATACACATTCATACACATATTGATATATTCATTCATATATCCATTTATATATACACTCATATACATCCATATATATACAAACACATACACACACCTCCTACCATCTCTTCCAAATATATCAGAATCAGGGGAGGGAGTAGTATCCCCAGTTTGTTCGAATCTTTCTTCCACGAGTCCACCAGTCTATGAATCGATGAGATGAGTCCACGACCCACCGATTGCTAAATGAAGCATTTGAAATGATCCACCGAATATCATTACGACCACATTAAAAAGTTAAAAGATCAACTTAATCCTTACAGACTTGAGGTCGCGACCCGACTTCTCGAAATTCTCTGACCCTTGTTCA